CAGATTCGTCAATGGCTTCGCGACTTTGGCGTAATCTTGGATGAACTTCCTGTAATACGAGGTCATGCCAAGGAAACTCTTCAATTCCCTCAAGTCTGTGGAGGGTTTCATTTCATTAATGGCCTTTACCTTTTTCTCATCTGCCTTAATGCCATCTTGCGTGACAATATACCCCAGGAATTCTACCTTCGTGGCCAAGAAACGCGTTTTTTCCTAATTTACCTGGAGCTTGGCCTTCTTTAGACTATCGAAGACCGCGCGAAGGTTTTTCCAATGGCTTTGATAGTCTTCGCTAAAGACTATAATGTCATCAATATAAACGTAGCAGATCTTTCTGATGTGCTCGTCAATCATCCGCTGAAAGATCGCGGGAGCGTTTTTGAGACCGAATGGGAGACGAAGGAATTCGTATTTCCCATTTAGGGTTGAAAAAGCGGTCTTCGGGATATCGCTCTCCTTCATGTGGATCTGATGAAACCCCGACGTCAGATCAAGAGTGGTAAAATACTTGGCTTTGCCAAGGCTAGCCAACCCCCTCGTATGGGTAACTCCGAGTGAATATGGGGTCATGCGTGTTAGTGCGGATCTCGGCCTTAACGGTCGTGTGGACAGCTTCCCCTGGCGAAAGTGGCAAAAAGAGGGAATATACCACTATTCCCTGATCAGTTTCTCCAACGTCTGCCTAATGCAGTCGGGATGATCGCCGTCGATCAACGGGTGAATGTTGGAGGATCGTCTTGCCAACAGGGGCAACTTAATCCCAGGGGATATAAGTAAAAAGTCGTTTTTCCTGTCGATCAGGGCCTTCATTTCCTTGAGGGTGTCATCGCCAATGATGCCGTCAAAGGAACTTAAGCCAGGGAGTACGTAAAAGGTAATGGCAGAGTCAATTCCGGAAGGTTTGAAAAATTGGCCCACGAGGCGATGCGTAATTTTTACGCTGCCCGCAGCGGATTGGACAAAAAACGGAGTGGGTAGTGGCGTGCAACCGGCAGAGATTTTAGGGCTAATCGGCCAATCATAATCTGGTACACTATAGGAGCAAAGCGCCGAATCGGCATCGCCCCTTATCTTCTGCCTAACGTGTAAGACTATTGACCGTTATAGGGGCTTGCCCCTAATAATTTCGTAGTCATTCAGGATGGACTGCGCCATCCATTTCCATATATTTTCCTTTACCCCCATAAGCTGGTCAAGCAGGGCTTTAAGGCTGTCGTTGAATCTATTGAGGGCACTTTTGATCTCCTCCATTTTTCTTGTTCGTGAGGCAGTTGCAAGAGATTGGGTTTGTTGTTACCCCTAAAAAAAAGGTTTGTGAATACGCAAATGTTATGCAATTCTTAGTTTCATTTCCGAAAATTTTCCTTTATTATTATATTATTTTACCTTCAATTTGATTTATTGAAATAATAGATTTTTTTAATTTTAGTTTTGTTTAAGGAATTACTATTCCACACTAAAAAAGCTTCCACAAGTTGCCCAATATTAAGGCGGCAAAAAATTAAGTACGACGGCGGAGGAATAAAGAAAATGAAAACGTTTCACTTACCCCTGTTACAGTGTGTATTGTGTTGTTAAGTGCTGTTTCGTGTAGTGTGCCGTGACTAAACTCCGATCTCTTTATGCCTTGAGAGTTCTGATTAAAATAAAAATAAAAAAATTTTATTTCATTTTATTTATTACTATTATTACTCATTTTTTTTTACTGAATAGTGCCAACCAAGTGATTTCCGTTTTTTCTATTATTTTTTCCCTTTCTTTTGCATTGTATTGCATTGCAGTTATTTAATTTGTTTGTTAAAAACCAGGTAGCTGGCTTAGCCCTTCTACCCTGGAGGGTCCTTCTTTTGAAGGATTCGCAGGATTGGGCATTTTATACTGTCTTTTGTCGGGAAATTAAATATTTCCTTTCAAAGCAGTTATGACGTAGTAATTTATTATACTCTGTACATGAAATGTACAAGAGTATATTAGGTTTGCGGGAGCTGAAAAATGTAACAGGCAGAAGGAGGCGTGGCAGACCCCACAAAGTATATATATTCTTGATCAGCGTGACAAGACGAGTCGATCTAGCCCTGTCTGTCCGTCTGTCCGTCCGTATGAACACCTGGATCTCAGAGACTATAAGAGATAGAGACACCAAATTTTGCACAAAGATGCGTTATGTGTGTATTCTATACGAGTTTGTTTTATTTTTTTGATTTTCCCCCCCACTTCCCCCCTATGGGGGTTTTCCCGATTTTCCATTCGTATAATCGCCTATATCTCGGAGACTATAAGACCTAGGAACACCAAATTTTAGTCCAAGGTGCCTTGTGTGAATACGCAGAAAATATATATTTTGGAATTTTCCTCCGTCCCCCCTCTCCCCCGAAAATGCGATTTTCTCTAACTTCCGTAATTCTTGGAATTTCGAACTAAAATTTTGGAAATACCCCCAGTTAGTAATTATGTGTCCGTATACCAAGTTTCAAGAAAATGCTTACACAGACACGAATAGATGCGCATAGGCATACATACACTCACACAGACGCAATTGCTATGTAAATGTGCAATTATACACCCTTTACGTGAGTTCGAATACCGAGAGAGGTAAAATCGATCCAATTTTTATACTCTGTACATGAAATGTACAAGAGTATATTAGGTTTGCGGGAGCTGAAAAATGTAACAGGCAGAAGGAGGCGTGGCAGACCCCACAAAGTATATATATTCTTGATCAGCATGACGAGACGAGTCGATCTAGCCCTGTCTGTCTGTCTGTCTGTCCGTCTGTCCGTCCGTATGAACACCTGGATCTCAGAGACTATAAGAGATAGAGACACCAAATTTTGCACAAAGATGCGTTATGTGTGTATTCTATACGAGTTTGTTTTATTTTTTTGATTTTCCCCCCCACTTCCCCCCTATGGGGGTTTTCCCGATTTTCCATTCGTATAATCGCCTATATCTCGGAGACTATAAGACCTAGGAACACCAAATTTTAGTCCCAGATGCCTTATGTGAATACGCAGAAAATGTATATTTTGGAATTCCCCTCCCTCCCCCCTCTACCCCGCAAATCGTAACTCCCGTAATTCTTGGAATTTCGAACTAAAATTTTGGAAATACCCCCAGTTGGTTATTATGTGTCCGTATGCCAAATTTCATTATGATAGACCGATTTAACAAGAAGTTATAGCCATAAATATATTTGCTGATGCAGCGCTGCTGCAGCGCTGCTCAAGCGCTGCCCGCGGCTGTTGTTGATGTTGCTGTTTGGTTGACTGCGAAAATGCTTACACAGACACGAATTGATACGCATAGGCATACATACACTCACACAGACGCAATTGCTATGTAAATGTGCAATTATACGTGAGTTCGAATACCGAGAGAGGTAAAATCGATCAAATTTTTTTTTTATTTTCTTAATTTTTTTATTTTCTATAATTATTGTAAACATATGTACAGAGTATTTCAAAGTCGGGACACCCGACTTTAGCTTTTTTACTTGTTTTTATTCTTTTTTTTTTATTTTCTATGATTATTGTAAACATATGTACAGAGTATTTCAAAGTCGGGACACCCGACTTTAGCTTTTTTACTTGTTTTAAACTGCATCAGAACACTAATATTAACAACATTTTCGCACTCGCGGATATGCCGTTGGCAAACCGCCGCAGTGTGTAGTTGTTTTTACTTTTTCTTTATTTTTTTTTTTGCTTTCACGCTCATAACACTAATATTAACAACATTTTCGCACTCGCGGATATGCCGTTGGCATACCGCCGCAGTGTGTAGTTGTTTTTACTTTTTCTTTATTTTTTTGCTTCCACGCTCATACACTAAATTGTTCTCTCGAACTTATTTTCATTTTTTTCCTTTTTTTCCTTTGCCCTTTTGCACCACCACATCTTCGTTTTTTTTTTTTTTCATTATTTTATTAAGGCTCCGCGCACCATTTAAATTCTAACACTTATAATTAAACAGGGTACACCCTCAAGAGGGGGTCCCTGCTCGGGCGCCAGTTAAGGCCATATAGTATTGAATGGGTCACCTTGTAATAATTAGTAGTATCCTGTGCATGTCGCTGATATTCTCCCGATTCACAATAAGAAGGCGGCTTCCTTTCTCTTTCAATGGCCCAGTTCCTCGGGCCCGTTGCGCAGCGTCAGATTTCCTGTGTGCTGCGTAGGCATTTAGCCGGAGCCAGCGCTGATGTTGCTGGCCCGGCCACAATGTAGCACAATGTCCGCAGCACTTGTGTTATGTTAACGCTGCAGAATTGTGTAAACCGGAGCCAGCGCTGGCATAGCCGGCCTGGCTGCATAGTTGCTCAACATTCCACATTATGTTGGCGCTGCAGCTCGACGGGTGAACGCTCGTCGCTGATGGTCATGGAAGGCGTGTGGAAGGGGCCACAGTGGCAGGCGTAGAAGGGTGCAGCAACGTTGGTTGTTATGTTGCTGGGTGTTAACTTGTATAATCACATATAAAGGATAATATTTTCATATTTCATCTTGTTTAAAATTGAGTTTGAAAAGAAGAAGAAGAAATACAATAAAACACAAAATGAAAAAACAAACAAAAACAAGAAGAAGAAAAAATACAATACAAGTAAAACAATGGAAAAAACAAAACAACAACAAAAAAATAATATGTTAAACGACCTGATTCAAACCAGATTGGTGTTAAATGAAAAACTAAAAAGTCTAAAGTCTAATCAAATTCATAGAATTAATATGTTAGAAAATACATTCAGACCAATTACAAATCAATTAAATGCTATCGTTCAAAATATGAATCAAAATAAAAATACAAAGTCCAACGAATAAGAAGAAGAAGAAGAACAGCTTTACGTGATAGTTTTTTATTAGAACAAATGGAAAAATATCATATTCATTATAAACGAAGTCAGAATAGTCTGTATCTGTATGTTGTTCTTATTGTTGTTGTGAAAAACTATTAAAATCGAGTTCCACCAGCATCACCACCGTCATATTCCATTTCTGTTTTAGTAACAATCCAGATCGCTTTTTCAGTGCCTCAGTAAGCGGAGCTGCTAAGGTGGCAAAATCTCTTATGAATCGCCTGTACCACCCGGCGGTTACTAAGAAAACGCGAACCTCCTTTACGGACCTCGGTACCTGTATGCGCTGTATCGCCCACACCCGTTCCGGATCTGTTCGAAGTACGTCCACGATAAATCCCAGGTATTTCAATGTTTTAAAGGAAAACTTTGACTTTTGTAACCCTATCGTCAGATTTGCCTTCTTGAGGCATTCAGATATACTTTCACGTTGGACCTCAGCTCATTTGGTATGACCTTGTCCATCAGCCGGCACAATCTTTGAGCGGCGATACACAATCGGAAAAGCATCATGCGGAATTGGTACAAAGGACGCCCAGGTACCGTAAACGCAGTTCATCTTCTACTGGACTACTCCAACTCCACTTGCCAAAACGTAAATTTCAAGTCTACACTGGTCGATTCCAGATAGGATTCCCTCCACGCATGGTAGCGGATAGGCATCTTTTACAGTCAGTTTGTTCAACCTATGGGCATCGAGGAAAAACCGGTTCTTGCCCGGTCGTCGCACTATGGTGATGCGGTTACTCCACGAACTATCGCTAACCTCGATGACGCCAAGCGCAAGCATACTGTCCACCTCATCCCACACAATCTTTTGCATAGCGGGTGATAGAGGGTAGTGGCTGTCTTTCACTGGCTCTGCTCCGCTGACAAATTCAATACGGTGAGTTTCCACAGTCGTCTTTCCTAATCCCACTTCCTTTTCTACTCGTTCCAATTTCAGCTTTTGTTGTTCATTTAATTCCCACATATCTAGTTCCGGTTTTACTTCATCCTGGTTCACATAATGCGCTACTCTATCAGCTAGCAATTCATCGAGGACAACGGCAGACTTTTCTGGAGGAATTAATAGTGGAGTCAAATTAAACAGCCGCCAAAAGTCGATGCCGAAATAAGCGTTCTGCTCGAGCGATGGGCATACATAAAACACCACTTCTTTGGTATCCTCCCGATACTTTACTGGTAAGCGCACCCGCCCAATTACGGCTCGATCTTGACCGCCTGCTGTTTTAATTATTGGAATGTATTTGCTGGGCTCCACGCCAACCTCTTTCAGCAGTTCAAGACTGCCCTTGCCTAGCACGCTTACCGAGGCTCCGGTATCCAGCAAACCGCGTAGCACATAGCCTCGTACTAGTACTTCGGCATAAATCCTCGGGTCTGCTGCTCCTTCGCGTCGCACTGCCTCGGCCACCAGCTTCTTTGTCTGCCTTCTTACTCTAAATCGTGCTCGGGCCTTTTTAACTTTGGCTGTTACCATTCTCATGCCGTCTAATTGATGTTGAGCGAAAATTTTATTGCGCGCCTCCAGATATGCCCGCATCTTCTCTTCGTATGGTAAAAATCTCAACTTACTACTATATGGGATATTTTTATTATCAATTTTCTCTTCTAGGACCGCTCCGTTGCCATCCTGGTGGGCACCTGTGTCGAGCGCGATTCGCCCACTTGATCCGCACTCCGACGGCCGTTTCCCGCACAATCGGGGCATGAGGGACTATAGGTTTCTGGTTTACCACATCCATAACAGAAAACGCGCCTTTCCGGCGACATGCAGTCACGGAAACTGTGGCCGGCTTGTCTACAGTTCCAGAAAACTAACGCCTGTTGCGGGCGCCTTGCCAAACGCGCCTCCTCGATGATGCCGAAATCCGCCGACTCCTCGCCGTTAGTGTCGTCGACCAACTCCTCCACTTGCGGTGGACGGTTTCCGCCATTAAAACGTGTGCCCTGCGTGTTGGGTACAAGCCTTCTCGCCGCAGAACCATAGCTTCCACCTCTACGCATTCCTCACGTAAGTGGTCTACCGTGTACACGCGCATCGCATACACATAACGAGCTAATTCTGTTTTTAATCCCCTTTTAATATATTTCATCATCTCGTTTTTGGATGGTGCTGTTTGGAGACGCGGCGCCAGCTTTCTCAAGGCATAGAAGTACTCCTCAACGCTTTCGCTTGCCTTCTGCCGTCTTTCGCGCAATTGACGCATACGCTCAAATTCGTCGGCGGCGCCTTTAAAACGGGACAGCATGCTTCGCTTTAGTTCATGCCAGCTGTCCGCCCGGCGATCCCTGACGTACTGCCAGTACCACTCGCGAGCGTGCCCAGTCACTAGCAGATGGAAGCTGTTTAAGACTCCGGACCACGCGCAGCGACACTGCCTCTTATCGCCGCTGAAAACGATGTCCCTCTTTTCAACGCGGCACCATCCTGATCTGCCATTCGCCGCTGCACACGGAGGAGGTGGGTCCATCTAACCACTCCAATCGTTGCGCCTGTTGCCTCCTCGCCGGGCTGATGGTGCGACCGGATTTCGCCAATTCCGCGCTGTACTGCTGCTATGGCCAGATCCACTAGAGGAATTAGCTGCCGCCGGCCTTGCTACCGGACGCGAAGCGCTTCTCGCAGATGTTATAGGCTTGGCTTGGTATTGATGCGGCCGTTTTGGAAATGCGCCACGACTTTGGCTGACTGGTGGTTGCCATGCTCCATTAGCAGCTGAATCGCCGCTAGTCGCTCGCGGCTGCAAGACTTCTTTGAGCGCGCCCATCAAGTCTTGGAAACCCATTCGGATTTCTTCCTTCAACACTTTGTTGATGCCCTCTTTTTGCGATTGGCGGTATGTTTCGTTCGCCTGCGCCACTGCTGATTCTACCGCCAACGTGACTACTGGCTCGGCGTCCCCGCGTATTGCTTGTGCTATGGACGGCCTTTCAATTTAAAATCGCTCTGTTTTTTATAATATTTATTTGTATTTTAGATTTAAAATTTGTTTAGCTTTCAAGCAGGCCCCGAAGTAAAATTCGCGTATCAATTGAATTGTTGTACAAGGTGCGTCCCAAAGTAAACAGGACTTTTTGAATCAAGCGCCCCCTGGTGGCGCTATCTATATGTCGACTGGTGCGTTAGAATCTGCTATCTTTATCAATTGTCCAGTGAGAATTTAATGACATTTCATCGATTGGAAGTGAAGTTATTGCGTTTTAAGTGTCAGTATGTTTGTGTTATCGGTGCGAAAATAAGCTTCGAACAAAGAGCCAACACTAAATTTTGTTTTAAAATTGGTAAAACTTTTACCGAAACGTTTCAATTGATGGAACAAGTGTATGGCGATGATTGCCTATCCCGTAGCAGGGTGCACGAGTGGTTTCAACGTTTTCAAAGTGGTCGTGAGGACATAAATGACGATCAACATGTGGGCCAATCAAAATTCCATCGAAACTGTGCGTGAATTCATCAAAAATCAGCCGAAATCATCATTGAAATTGATGGAAATGGAATTAAACATCTCCAAAATATCGATTTATCGCATTTTGACCGAACATTTGGGCTTACGAAATGTGTGTGCACGGATTGTTCCGCACAAATTGACTGACGACCAAAAATTGCTCAGAATCCAACATTCGATCGACGCTTGTGACCGATAATTTGACCAAAAATCACATTTTAACCATTAATTACTCGCCGTATTCACCTCATATGGCACCATGCGATTTCTACCTTTTCGGAAAAATGCATTTGCCCATGAAAGGAACGCGTTATGCAGACGTAGAGGCCATTCAAAAGGCTTGCACCGGCATACTGGCGGCAATACCGGCCAACGAGCTAAAACACTCGTTCGACATGCTTTTGGATCGTGCAAAAAGCTGTATTGAACCAGATGGAGACTATTTTGAATAAAATAAATTGATTTTGCCGAAAAACCCTTTTCTTCTGTTTTTTTTTAAGTCCTGTTTACTTTGGAAAACACCTTGTATATATGTATTCAAAACAATGAAAATGTTTGCGAACGCCCAAAACAACAAAAACCAATGGGCCAAATATATGTACGTTAATTATGTATGTTAGATAAATAAATAAGTACAACAATAAATAGATAATTAAGTGAATATGAATAAATAAATATGAATATAGTTGTTGAGGCACCGAGATAGTTCGGGAGCCTTTTTTAGTCTATGGGCTTAGTCTGAAGCGGGCGTCAGACACGACAATTAAAACAAAAACGATTTCTTTTTATACTCTGTACATGAAATGTACAGAAGTATATTAGGTTTGCGCGAGCTGAAAAATGTAACAGGCAGAAGGAAGCGTGGCGGACCCCACAAAGTATATATATTCCTGATCAGCATGACAAGACGAGTCGATCTAGCCCTGTCTGTCTGTCTGTCTGTCCGTCTGTCCGTCCGTATGAACACCTGGATCTCAGAGACTATAAGAGATAGAGACACCAAATTTTGCACAAAGATGCCTTATTGCCTTTGATTCCCCCTGTCTGTATGAGCGCAAGGATCTCAGTAAGTACAAGAGCTAGGATAACCAAAATTGGTATCAATGTTCCTATAAGCCCTAGGCAGATCGAGTTTGTTTATTTTTTCTGATACAACCCCCACTCCCCCGCAATTCATGTTTTTTTCATAACTCCCGTAATTCTCGGAATTTTGAAATCAATTTTGGTAGGTACATCCAGTTAGTACTAATGTGTCCGTGTGCCATCATCATGATAGGTCAATTCTGAAGAAAGTTATAGCCATAAGTAAAATCGCTGCTCATGCGCTGCTTGCAGTTCTGTCGGCAGCGCTGCCCGCAGCTGTTGTTGTTGTTCCTGCTTTGGTTCAACTTTGTGCTGCATACATACACGCATATAAACACGCATAGGTACGTGATGTAAATGTATGCTGTTAAAACTGAACATAAACATGTATTCTAATTTAATTTAATTAATTCATTCATTCATTCATTTTTTTTTTAAATTTTATTTTATTTTTTTTTTTTTTTAATTTTTCTTTTTTGTGTAGAGTACAGGCTACAGGGCTTGCTCGACTGTAGTGTTCTATCTTGTTTTATTTTCTATAATTATTGTAAACATATGTACAGAGCATTTCAAAGTCGGGACACCCGACTTTAGCTTTTTTACTTGTTTATAATATTTATTTGTATTTTAGATTATAAATTTGTTCATCTTTCAAGCAGGCCCCGAAGTAAAATTCACGTATAAAGTAAATTGTTGTATGTATGTATTCAAAACAATGAAAAGTTTTGCAAACGCCCAAAACAACAAAAACCAATTCCAAAAAATAAAATAAACTCGTTCTTTCTCGGACCTAGGAGAATCTGGATACCAACTTTGGTTATTCTAGCTTTTATAGTTTCTGAGATCCTTGCGTTCATCCAGACGGACAGACGGACGGACGGACATGTCTAGATCGATTTCTCTCGTCATGCTGATTCAGAATATATATACTTTATGGGGTCGGAGATGCTTCCTTCTGCATGTTACATGGTTAGGTTAGGTTGAAATGGCGGGGGTGATGATAATCACCCCCCACTTAGGCCTAGGAGGCCCATTGTGATACCATGTAATCCCTAGTTTTGTTGGTGAGCCTTCAGCCACCCTGTGGTGTTCAAAAAATTTTCTAAGTCCACGAGCTCCACATCTTTTAATTCCGAGAGGTCGCTTAAGAAAGGTTTCCCTAAAGTGCATAGCCTGCGCCTGCTCAGTGCCGGGCAGTGGCAGAGGAGGTGCTCCACACTTTCCTCCTCCTCCTCGTCTCTGCAGCTTCTGCAGAAGTCGTTGAACGGAATGTTCAGTCTTGATGCATGTCTGCCAATCGGACAGTGGCCCGTGAGGGCCCCCACCACCATGGAGATATCTGTCCTTCTTAGCCTTACGAGCTTTAACGTCCTTTTTGTATCAAGGGATGGCCAGGTAAGCCTGGCACAAACGCATGTGTTTGTGCTCTCCCAGCGCTGCTGTGCCATGAAAAGCGCATGATTGCGTGTCATGAGCCGAAAGGTTGCTAACGGCATTCCCATGCCTTCCCTGTCGGTAAGAATGCTTGCGTTTGTTCCCTCCCTTGTCAGCTCGTCTGCAATGCAGTTTCCCTCAATATTCTGGTGTCCTGGCACTATTATTCATAATATAAATAATTCTCAAGATATTCGTTAAGAATTCATATGCCTTTAACTTCTGCGTGTTTTAATGTTTCTAATTTAGCTTTATGTGGTATGCCCTTTTTAGCTGGGTTTTACTCAAAGGATATAATTTTAGAGATTGTTATAATTAATAATATTAATTTATTTTCATTTTTTTTAAATTTTTTTTCTACTGGGTTAACAGTGTGTTATTCTTTTCGGTTAGTATTTTATACAATAAGAGGAGATTTAAATTGCGGTAGATTAAATATGTTAAATGATGAAGGTTGAGTTATATTACGAGGAATATTAGGATTATTATTTATAAGAATTATTGGAGGAAGAATATTAAATTGATTAATTTTTCCTTCCCCTTATATAATTTGTTTACCGGTTTGTATAAATTTATTAACTTTATTTGTTTGTATTGTTGGGGGGGCGTTAGGATATTTAATTTCTGTAAGAAATTTATATACATTAAATAAATCCTTTTTAAACTATAAAATTTCATTTTTTTAGGTTCAATATAATTTATGCCCTATATTTCTACTTATGGGTTAATTTTTTACCCATTAAATTATGGTCAAGTTATTATTAAAAG